TATATATATATATATAAAAATCAAAAACGCTTCAGTGTGCAGAATTTTTTTTTTTTTAAACAGCATGGGTTCATTGGGAAAAAGTGAGACATGGTTTTAATTGTTGTGCAAGCTTGCAACATAAACGTGTCACATGCTTTGCACAATCCTGCTTAATGTGTACTGGCCTAGTGCTGGCAGTCAATTAAATATGATTTGTTGAGGACATTTGTCATTTTTGTTGCACATTTCTGTTTTTGCAAGAACAACCTCTAAGTGCTGACAATACAACACTCAAGGTCTTCCATGTGGCATGCCTAAGTGTAAGGATATCTGGCGTGGGTGGATGATCTCGCAATGAGATATTTGCAAGCGGTTGCAGAACCTTTAGATATTATTACAGAGTACTCGAGGTAGATGGATAAGTAGGTGAAGCTGATGTCATTTTCCAATAATAGGTTATGAGATTGAAGTACAGAAATGAAACAAACTACAATTTTTCCACCATGAAGCCTTAACAATTTCAATTTAGTGATAGAAGTAACTATCTTCTTACTTTAAGAGTGAAATACTGTCTGAGCCATCGACTGTACCATCCACCCAAGCCGTAAATGAGGTGAAACCAATGCAAATGAGTGGAATGAGTGGTTCTTTTGTTAACGAAATGTATTTGTTTACACAAATCTACTACAGTTGACAGTAACTGAATACTCAATCATTAAACATGTCACTGGTTTCTCAAGAGCCTCAGGCATTCCTGGCTAATGCTTCATTTAATATTAAATCAGGTTGGATACATTGGCTCGCGAAAACTCTGGACACCATTTGAAAACACTTTTCTGCATTCTAATATTAAGCTACTTTGGAATAATGTGCATGAAGCGTTTGTTCCCTATTCGGCAATGTGGAACGTGTTGGAAGTTGTTTGAGTCCAGGCCAGTCTGCAGCAGACCTGTGGTTTTCTCATACCAGCTTTTTGGCATAGAGGTGTACGAGTTCCTCATTTAAGACTTGGTATGCAGTCATTAAGGCCTGACGGGACTTAATGATTTCAAGTGACTTATGTGAAATAATGTCAAGTCAATAGAAAGTCACGCACGTGACCCAAGGCAGCATAAAATGCATTCGTTCTGAGGTTTTGTGACGGTTCATATTATTTTCAGTACAGCTAGCCAAATAACCTATATCAGAGCGGGCAGCAAAAGGATCACCTTAACCAGACTAACATTAATTTGCTAGTGGTTCCAATAAATGATTAAGGTCTTTTACACATGCTGGAAGAGTGTTTGGTCACTACGTATTATTACCGACTTGTTTTGTATTGATTTCTTTTTGAACACTTTGTTTTACCTAGAGGTTTATTACTCATTCTTCTCATGTCTTTGTCACATTGAAATCAATACAAAAGACGGTAATATAACAGTGTTAAGCCCAGAGGATTTGCCCTGAAATTGAATTCATACATGTGAAAGCACTGGTGTCCCTTTTAATAATAGCAATGTTTCCACAGAGCAAACATGTCCTTTGCTATTTTTTCTTTTGGTGGACAAAATTGAGCAATTTCACTGTAAGGCATAGAGCTGGCATAGCTTTCTTTCCAGCTCAGTACCTTTTCAAAGGCAGTTCCTCTCCATCTGATTAACTTTTTTTTTTTTTAGTAGTAATTTGTTTTAATCATTGTAAGGGTGTTAGGATCCTTGTTATAGCATGGCAGATAGATTTTATACAGTCTGACAGACCATAGCTTGTGAAGTGACTGAACACGAGAGCAACGCCACTTGAGGAAATTCCCATTTCCTTATTCAACAGTCTGATGTCCTTGATAACTCAGCTGCTGGTATGTAATGTTTTTAAAGGACAGTAACTGACTGTAAAAGTGACTAATGTACATGATGGCACTGGGCTTTGGCTCAGATTTGTTTTGCGTTAACTGTGACCAGCCTTTCACCTTTTTAAAAATCTGTTGTGCCTCAGACTATATACCAAAGAAACACTGTGCAAGAAGAGCATTAAAAAGTGTTTGTTTTGAGGTCCAGGGCATTAGATTAGTCCAGGACAAGGGGATTATGTTGGCTTTGTAAGGCTGCCGTCATGTCGTGGCCACACACCAGCTGATAGCAAACTCAGAAAGGATTTAACTTATATCCTCGAAGGTAGCTGGTCATTCGAAGGCTTATGGTGCCTTTTATTTTCAAACCACTTGAATTAAGCCTTTTTTACAGGTGCACATATATCCACATATTCAATTATACTCCTGGGTTTTACATTAGCAATGAAATGGATCATGAGGAATGAGACGCATATGCATTCCACAGTTCCCTTTGTGAAGTGGTGAGTGCTTTAATGCAGTTAGTGTTAATAGGCTGGTTGTGATTAGATGAAAATCTTTGTACTTTAAAGCATACATGCAGCGTTTCTCCAAGGTTAAGATTCTTTTGAAGCGATCCACTCTGAGTGATGGGGGGGATGGGCTTATTGAAGCACTGCAGGGAAGCTCTAACATGGAACGCTTGAGTGCCTTCAGAAAAACAGCATTACCTACATGACCTGACCTCCAAATTGTAGTCAGTAATTGTTAATGCAATATAGCACTTGGTTAAAATAGCTACTTACCTACCTACCATAGTGCATACTGTGTTCCATTGGAACAGCTAACCTGCAGAGGTGCAGCTTTCGCTATTTCCTTTGCATGTGCACACAGTTGAAAAGGAGTGAGAGAGACACCTGGGACTTCATTTCACACTTCTAGCGTGAAGAGAAAGTAGCATAGGCTTTGGTAACCCAATATGTTTTGATGGCATATTTAAATCCTTTTTTTGGGGGGACAACAACTTAAGAAAACGGTTGATTGTTTATATTTTCAGCCTGTGCCGCTGTGTGTTGCACACTTGGCTACCTGTGAATTTTGACTATGCTGTATCTGCTTGTAACAGCTGACTAGGTCTGCAGTAAGTTCAGACTTTGATTAAACAGTTCCTGTAATCAATCAAGTGCTCCGTGGAGTGTCCTGTGTTGTTTTCGTAGCTTGTGGAAAGACAGGTGGGCGGACGGTTCAGACGTGATTATGTAATTTCCATCATCTTTCGATATGAACATGACTGTCGAGATTATAATGAAACAGGCCGCGGCAAGGCTTAAAAGCTGCGATACACCTGAAAACTGCGAAATATTACTGAAATGTGTAATTATGTAATGCAATTATTAAAATGGTGTTGTGTTTTGTTTTTTTTTTTTTTTTTAATTTTTTTATTTGCTTGTTCAAGCATAGTAAATGCAGGACAATGGAAACTGATAGTCAGAATAGATGGCAATATTTATTGAGCCATCCATTGTGTGGGTGGGCTAGGGAAGCTTGTAGTGGGGGGAAAATGTACCTCAGCTGGCCCCCAAAATAGATTTTATATATGAAAAGTGATTGTGTGGATGTTGCCGCCGTCTGTATTTCCTGAGGCTACCATTTTGTTGACAAAGTTGAGGATGTGACGGTTGTCGTGGGGGCTGTAATGTTGTATCAGAATATGCAGCTCTGCTTCACGTTTTGCAGCTTTGATTGGATTTCTCACTTGTGAATTGCCCATTACAGCGGGGGAGGGGGGGCACTTTGAATGCTTGTTGCACAGCTGCTGTTTTGCCAGAAACCAGTGATCCATCTTTTCCTGGGATGTGAGCCCAGGTTACACTCAAGTCTCCCCCACACAGGCTATAAAGATATTGTCAGCTTTTGTGGCGCAGCACAGACTTGAGTGCTGCAGAAATGCTGTCTCATTTGCTTTTGGTTTGACGTATCGTCCCGTGTGATTGTAGAAAGGAAAGCCACAGCAATTATGGGGGTCGATTCAAAAGGATAGTTGTGTTTCTGTTATTACAAAACCTTTGGGGTTTTTTACCACACCATTGCATTTAGTGCTGCCTTCACTCCTCCATTCATAAGCAGTGTGACCTCATTAATCAGTGGTGCATCACTTGTTCCTGACAGTGGTTATCTTTTCGCTGCTACATGCACATCTATAAATGGTTGATTAAAATGGTAAAGAAAATGCTACAATATAATATTATTTTTTTCTAAGTTGCTCTACAGAACATACAGCGTATCCATTTTTTGACGCGAAGCAATTATGTCTTTCCCAGATATAAGCTCGCTTTTAGCTGTAGGAATGTCACGGTC